CATGATGCTATACACCGACTATCACGAGCCTAGATCGAGCCGTTTAGATTTGTGCCGCAATTCTTCATTTCCTCCCTATACCTGAAGTTAAGGATAGAGTGAATGTTCCCCCTTCTTTTACACCTCTTGACCTTTGACCTTTGACCCCCAGCTTCAACATCCCAACTCGTTTTCGGATTACCCCCCCACGTCCCGAATATCGTGACCGTACGTCGAGCCGTTTAGATTTGTGCCCAACTGTTGACGGACAGACGGACGCTCGCACGGACGGACGGACGGACGGACGGACGGACGGACGATCATGCGATTCTACAAGCTGCATCTGACTATGTCAGATGAGCTAAAAAGTTATACCTACCTACCTACCCTAATTTTCACAATCCATGTGACCCGAACCAAAGGTATTTTTTTGTTTGGCCTTACCTCTTTCTGCTGCTTCTACTGCTACTCCCTCCGCTGCTCTCATGCTCCTTCTCTTTCCTGAAGCTTCGTCGTAAATCGTCAAACACGTCAACAAGGTTGTCTGTCAGCTTGCGTGCCTTTCGATCGTCAACATAGCGTGACAGTTTGTCTGTGATCTTTTTCCTGTCATATCCCTACATAGGACCACGTAGAATATGTTATGAATTAAAGGAGGTCACCATGGCAAGATCATTGTCTACAAAATAGCATGACAGCTTCTCGGTATTTTTTGCTGTATCTCCACATTAGACTGCAGAGAATTAATAGGCAATGTGCAAAGATCATGCAACATCTTGCACAAACGTGTGAGAACATCAGTGGTGTGCAAAACGGATATGAAATCAACCATTTACAGAACCTATCACGTATGTAGTTATTATAAACAATATACATACCAGTTGTAAAAAAGGCAAACATCTACTTTTAAGTAGCAAATTTAAACCTTCATCTAGATTGTGATTGGGTCTGAATCTGGCCTGCACAAAACCTTGCATATGATCCAGAGATGCCAACAGTTATTAACCAACCATGTACAGATTAAATAGGGACGTATATCCGGTAAATACATACCTTCACAAAACAGCTAACAGCAGCTGCCTCTGCGTGGGGTTCACTGTAGCCAAGAAATTTGTAGACAACTTTTTCAATCTTCGGACGTGCCTGGTCAACCTCAGGCCGCGACATCGCACCTGACCTACGTAAGAAGTAAGAAAGCATGAGAGTCAACCACGCTACACGGTTCAATAGAAATGGTGGTCAACAGGAATTAGATGTCATTTAGCATAAAGCTGCGAGATGGGTATCCAAAATCTATTATGATAGTTCTGAAATTGTTTTGACTCAACTTCATTGGCCTTCTCACTATGTCTTCTAAGTTTCTCCATGCAAAACTTATAACCTTTCATGATAAAATTTATCATGGCCAGGTGAAGATTAGCATTCCCTTTTCACTTAATGAAGCCAATTCGTGGCACTCTTCAGAGCACATTTCGTGCAGGATTTCACGAGATATCTCTGGCGGGAGTAGGTATGAACAAAGGCCAGCGTTATAATTCGAACAAGTGAACATTTATGTACACATAGATACCAAGAAGGAAGCTGTTGGATGTGTTTTCGTTCTGTGATCGTGTGAAATGAAGCGAGCGTTGAACGAATTTTTCGATTCCGCTTTCCTACCTGCTCTCCTATTCATGTTGTTTGTGCACGCAGCACAGGGCGAGTGTGCGGTGTACTTGTGTGTTGCAGATGAGCATTTGACCGGCATTTACAGGCGATTATAGGCGAAATAGAGTAGAGAAACATTATTATTAAGACTTTGGTACATTTCGTGTTTATTTACCATTAATTTTTTTATTGAGACGTTCCAAGTGCCTGTGTTAGTGATGATAATGATTGACACACATCACACATCAACACACGCCGTCGCAGTGACACACTGACGCTCATAGGGTCTATGTCCCCCAGGGTACTGCCGGAACGTACCCTGGGTACGGTCCGGTATACCGGAACGTACCCTGGTACTATCCAATATGCCGGACCGTACCTCGCCTACTGAGCTACTCCACTAACGAGTCTAGGGAGTCGCCTATGCCTACGCCCTAATCCTAACCCTAACCATATCAAATACTGAAATAGTGACCAGGGTACGTTCCGGCAGTACGCTGGGGGACATAGACCCTCTCAGCCACAGGCACTTGGAACGTCTCAATAAAAACAAGTGCCGCGGAGTAACAGCGCTCATCTAACGTCTACTGCGGTGACTCTGTGGTGGAGTGGTGGGATTCTAGTAAACCCTGTTAGTCCCAAATGTGTTCACATACACGCCAAAACATTGGAAGGCACAGGGATGGTATCAGGAACCTTCTCAAAGGAATGATCTCAAGGAGGCGGGTTACAACATGGATTTTTTACTGTTAGAAAGATTTGACTGCGCGGTGCTAGTAGAATCGTTATACGCCTGGATGTATGAGGCTAGCAATGTCACAGTGATAAGTTTCAAAAGCTAAATTAGTTTGAAGAAGTTTTAATGCTCCTGGTAAAGCGTAATAAGTTGTCTATGGATTCTGTACTGTCCCAGTGTGTTCATGTAACGTGATGCCACTGCCAGTGGCCACTTGCAGTGCCAAGTGCATGTGGTTGGTGGTACTGTGTCGTTTTTGCGCTGCGGTTAATTAGTTACAGTGGCAGCTCTCTATTTCAGCCTGGTAGGCTTGCGTAGGTATAAAGGATGTGTGTTACCTGACTTCTGTCTTGCAGAATAGTTTTGTTACTGACTACGTACGATGCGGAGCTTCCATCTTTTAATCTAAGACACTAACTACGCGCCATCCTCGTGGCAAACTTCATACGAATCATACGATGCCCGCAACG